GTCATGCAGTTTGGTTGGATGCCTCAGAGGCACCATGACCTGTCCAGTTTTCACTTGACCTATCAGACAATGTGTAAAATCTCAGTCAAAGCACCTTTAAACACGGTGTGCATCAGTTCTGAGAGTATAATCCCATCTTATCTTGTCTATAAACAAACAAAAAGGTCTTATCTGTGCCAGTCTAATTTCCTGCTTGTGTCATGTGGTAAGCCTACTGCTCTACTGCCCCCTGGAAACAGTGACACCCGAGAGCCTGTCCATGTTATGTTCCCATAGTGACCAGTGTCACCCAACCGGGGTGTGTCTGTGGAGTGTGTAAGCAGTCTCATGCCTACCTCATGGGCATGTATGAGTGTGTGTGCATACGCTTTGCATACTCTTACACACACACATACACATGCAGACTGAAAATGCTGCATAGAGCATAGGGTGGCATGGCTAACCCTGAATCATCTGCACCTGTGAGAGCATATAAATACACAACTAGAAATAGAGTCAGCCTGACCAGTCTGAAAATAACTGGAGAAATAGGAGGCAGGAAGGCGACACAGCAAGATCAACACCGAGCAAGGACACAGCAGGAGAGATTAAGTTGTAGAGGTTAACATTACCTTGTAATAGACCATGTGTGCTCACTACTGATGTAATGTAGCTGCCACTGGTACTTTTTAAGTGTTGATCAAAATGTGTTCATAATGTTTTGAAGCCTTTTCTGTTGTGTTAAATGAATTGCTGCTGTTCTCAAAAGAGCAGGATAAACTTCAGTTAAAGGTTTTGAACTATACTGTACCATGAAGTTAGTTTTATCCATAAGTGTGAAAAGTAGAGATTCAAGTACAAATTAAGGGTCATCCCATTTGCCCATTGATTGTTATACTGTATATCTTGTATACAGAAAGCTTATTGGCAGCTATTTTGATTAACAAAATAATCACTGGCTCCTGCTTCTGAAACACCAAGATTTTATATTTTTTCTTTGTAACACAATGGCAAACAGAAAACCTTTAGGCTTTTGTTAAGACAAAACAAGGCATTTAAAGACATCACCTTGAGCTGGGGGAAATTATAAGGGATTTTGGGGTTGATGAGAGACAAATGATCCACTTCCCTGTCTTTTAAAAGCAATCATAATGTAAAAATGCAGCCCCAGGCGATCTATTGAACTTTATCCTAATATCAGATTAAAACCAATTAACTTCAATGTTAAAAATGCAACTTTCTCAACTCAGTAGACTCCAGTCATTTTACTTCATACACCCTTAAAATGAAATCTCAATTTGTCTACTGGTTGGGACCACTTCCACCAAAAAGTGATTTTTTGTGGATTTTTAGAAGAAGTAAAATTACCCCCAAAAATCCACTTACTAAATTCCCAATAAACATTCATTACTTTCCAGTTATGTTAATCATTTTGTGACTCCTTAGATTTATACTGTGAACCCTGTCGCTGTCCAGACCCCTATAGGTGATTTGCAGAGCCCAAGTTTAATCTCAGATGGGATTGATTCAAGACGCAGTGAAATCCCCTTTTTTAATATGTCGTAGGCTATTACAATTATTAAAATCCAAATTGTTAACAGCAGAAGTCCTAATTGTCAGGTTGTTTGCAGTTTATCACTACAGTAAAATGTGTTGAATGGCACTGTAACCTGTCATTAGGCATGATCTGCCAGTGGAGCTGTGTTGTGACCTATTTTTTTAGGCTGTGCTATAATTTGCTCAGAGATTCAAGTACAAATTAAGAGTCATCCCATTTGCCCATTGATGTATTTAATGATATATTGTATGTTGAAAAAAATCCTTTGAAAAATAAGTTGTTATACTGTATATCTTGTATACAGAAAGCTTATTGGCAGCTATTTTGATTAACAAAATAATCACTGGCTCCTGCTTCTGAAACACCAAGATTTTATATTTTTTCTTTGTAACACAATGGCAAACAGAAAACCTTTAGGCTTTTGTTAAGACAAAACAAGGCATTTAAAGACATCACCTTGAGCTGGGGTAAATTATAAGGGATTTTGGGGTTGATGAGAGACAAATGATCCACTTCCCTGTCTTTTAAAAGCAATCATAATGTAAAAATGCAGCCCCAGGCGATCTATTGAACTTTATCCTAATATCAGATTAAAACCAATTAACTTCAATGTTAAAAATGCAACTTTCTCAACTCAGTAGACTCCAGTACTTTTACTTCATACACCCTTAAAATGAAATCTCAATTTGTCTACTGGGTGGGAACACTTCCACCAAAAAGTGATTTTTTGTGGATTTTTAGAAGAAGTAAAATTACCCCCAAAAATCCACTTACTAAATTCCCAATAAACATTCATTACTTTCCAGTTATGTTAATCATTTTGTGACTCCTTAGATTTATACTGTGAACCCTGTCGCTGTCCAGACCCCTATAGGTCGACAACATTCTGCATGTTTAATCTCAGATGGGATTGATTCAAGACGCAGTGAAATCCCCTTTTTTAATATGTCGTAGGCTATTACAATTATTAAAATCCAAATTGTTAACAGCAGAAGTCCTAATTGTCAGGTTGTTTGCAGTTTATCACTACAGTAAAATGTGTTGAATGGCACTGTAACCTGTCATTAGGCATGATCTGCCAGTGGAGCTGTGTTGTGACCTATTTTTTTAGGCTGTGCTATAATTTGCCGGGCCCCACGACAGGCAATACCATTCTCTAGCCCTGACCTAACATACATTTATGCTGCCTTCAACTTCTACCGTCACCCAAGCAAAGAGCAGATACACAAACATTGAATCTGCTTAGATTTGCAGAGCCCAAGCTCAATAGTCAAGTCATTCCAGCTTATGGTTCCAACCTATCAGATAGTTTTCATTATACTTTTCATACCTCTCTCTGACCAAGTGCACCTTCAAGGGTCCTCAGGGGTGAAGATAAGGTGTGGCATGAGCCGCTCTTCTATCTACATTGTGTCTGCTCAGGATAAACTAAAATGACTAGGCTAAGCAATTTGAACCAACCAGACAACTTCATCTGAAAACCACAGTCCGCTCAGCTGTGGTTTGTCAGATATTCATCCATCTCCTTCTCTATCCACCACATCCATTAGTAAACTGGGTTGTGTGCAGACCTGGCTGCAGAGATAGTGCATCTGAGGTAACTTTAACATGTTTTTCCTTTTCTTTCCAAACCTTTATTTCCCCAGTCTGGGATTCTACTGGCAGGTAACTAGGCAAAAGCAGAGAAAGAGCACTGATGAAAGACAAAAATAGGTCATAGCACAGCTCCATGGGCAGATCATGACTCAGGCTTATTAAGAGGGGCCTTTGTATTAGAATAGACGAGGGTGGAAGCGATGCAGCAGACCACAAGCGATAATCTCATCCGATCAACTGTCGGTACAGTACAGCATCTCATGCGTGAATACTGGCCCGGTTTCATAACCATGGTAACCAGAATATCCCCCGCGCATGAGAAGGGGGCGTTCCTCGTGCTAGCAAGGAGAGAAAACAGGCGGGAGGCTAAATCAGTACTAAAACGTATATTTTGCGGAATGTAATTTGTTTATTTTCTTGCTCGAACTGTGTTAAAGGTCCTTACAGTGCCGCTGTTGACGTTAGTTTTCCATAAGAGCGACACATGAAAACTTGACAGCGGTTCACTCATGCAGGAGAGCCGCTGTTCCACACGTTAACCGGACACTGCGCAACCCCCACGCGGGTTGCGATGCACGAGTGGGGCTGTAGAGTAAAGTGTTTATATCCCCAATCACAGTACGTGATTATACAGCCCATTTCTGTTCCCGTTGTACTGTAGCAGCAGGGCCCCGGAGCCTCCGTGGTCGGGCGCCTCACTTACCTCAATCCATTTCTGTGCCTCCTGACAGGCTGGTTCGGGATGGCTCTGCTCGTCCCGCGGCGGTGTGGTGGAGACATCTCCACCTGCTACGGGGCTAGCCATCTCCGGGCAGGTAGTTAAACGAAGCCCAGAGTCGGCTGTGATAATACGTGGGAAAGGCTTCCTTCAGATGTGTGATGCTCTCCTCCCCCTCCGCCAATCCGTTATCCTAATCCTCGTTTTCTACCGTTAATTACACGGCAGCTGCTCGCTCTGTCGGTAGGTTGCGAATCCACCTCAAGCTATGTCACACAATTGAAGACCCTGTCGTTACCCCGACACTGCCAACAGGAACCAGGCGCTAAAAACAATTCCTGCACGACTCCAAACACTGCTTTCCTCGGCCGACGCTGCCGCGCATTTCAAGATGCGTGAACGCGCAAGCAGGAATCTATGCGGGGGAGATCGAGAGAGGTAGAAATGGATAGGGGAGAGGGAGAGACCCATCATGCCAGCAGAAGTCCCGTATAATTTCAGTCTACGTAATCTTCATGGCAAATGTTGAAATTTGCACCACTGAAGTACAAAGCCGGCGATGGCTGGTCCTCCATCTTGGACTTGGTCAAAACCTAATTTTAAGACCTTCATTTATATCGAGCAAATTCGTTGCAAAACTAGTAAGGATCAAGACTAATTTAAATACAACTGGTAGTTAAAGTGAAAAGGCAACTCTGGCTGTTCCAACTCCAAGCTGTGACATTAACTATCATGTTACAAAAAGTGTAACCGTCAGCGTCTTGTCATTTAACCTGTGAAAAAGCTGAAAATGCATTCACAATTTGTTAAAAGGTCAAAATGAAGCCTCTAATTTACTAATTTTGTCCAACAGTTCAAAATATTTACTTTAAGCACAGAAAAAAAAAAAAAAACACATTTGAGAAGCTGGAACTGGAGAATATTTGGCATCTTGACGATGCTGATTATTAAATGTTGACAACTGGATGTTGATCAGTAATCACTGCAGCACTAGAAAGTCCTATGACAACATCTGGAAAATAGTTTGATTTATCTTGCATGTAACAGAGAGCCAACCATGCATACAAAGCAACAAAGGATAGCTGATATGAAATAAAAAGCAGATTCACAAACAGAATCTCCCCCGTCCCCCGAACAACAAACATCATAACAGATTTAATGTTGCTTTATTGAACTCCCACAGCTGCATCACCAGAACTACAGCAACAAAGTGCAGACAAGTACAAGTTGAACACAGGCTAGACATACAGAACTGCCTGGCCCCAACAACCCAACCCAACATACAGCAGTGCTCTATTTGGATGGTCCCTAGCTTAACTACAAGTTTTCAGTGTTGAAACTTGAAGAGTGCCAGTACATTTGACTGTTTCAGCATTTGTTGATTGTTATTACAATTTTCACTGCTAAACTGTCACAAAAAAAGCCTGGACAAGCTTGTATCAGGGTGAGTAGAACAAACTGCTGTTTTAATGCCAAGAACATTCATGAGAAGAAAAGAAAAGTAGGAACATGTGCTTTATAGTGCATACCGTCTGCAGATGTACGTGTATGCATCATTCTAGGTGGCTGCTGATTGCGTTTGCCATGTGAATCCTCCAGGACATTCTGGTTCTTTGTCCGACCGAACACCTAACTCTGACAAAGAGCCACTGCAGAGAAACGGACCTCGCCTTGCTCCCTCTCCATGAACCCACGGCACACTTTGGCTGCATCCTGGACAGAATTTTAGGGGGGTGTAATAATTAGATATCTATACACTCACTGGCCACTTGATTAGATACACCTGTACAATTGTATGCAAATCAATGCAACACTTCCACCTTATCTGTGAGTCTCAATGTTTCAATTTTCAGTGACATTGTCAAATGTACAAATTCAGTGTTGGTCATAGTTAAAGGTGGACTGCACTAAATTATACTTTGTGTTCCTAATATTCTGACCCTCTCGTATATAGCTGGGAGGACAAAGACACCTAAATATAATGTAGTCAGTATAAGACCAGCTTTAACAATGACCTCAACATAATTGAATTTATACATGCGAGTTTCACTGAAACCATTTCATAAACAGATGTTAAGATGGAAATGTTGCATTAATTGCATAGCTGTACCTAATAAAGTGGCCAAGTGTATATCCACAGCATTCAAATATAAAATGAAACTCCATTTCAAAAAGGAAATACTACACCGACATCTGAAACCCTGTCCTAAAGATGGAAGACTTCTCTTAATATTCCTTGCACTTCAGTAGAGGTGGGCAATAGCTTAAATATGAGGATTTATTTCACTAAATTGTCCTTGTATAGTTAGTTGAATTTTCAGGGTTTAAGGCACATTTGTTCAAAATTATGAACTCATTACATCTGATCAACTACTCGACAGTAGAATTATGAATGCAAGACATTACACATTTTTCTAAGTAGGCATATCCTCTTAAAGATTACAGTAGCTCTCCATACACAATGCACACAGAGCCCTCTGGTGGCAGCTCAACAATCCCAGTGGCTCAGAGTACAAATGCTGTCCTCTGACTATTACAGCATATAAAAGCAAATAGTGACAAAGCAGTTTAATTGGTTCTATTCATCATGTTTGATTGAGTTTAAACACTGACTAGACTCGCATGGCTTGAGAAATGGCAGCTCAAGATCAAACTGGCTGCAAAAAACACTGCTTAAAATGCCAACATACTTGCATTAGGATTTTTGTACAAACAGTGATGGAAAGTAAAGAAGATTTACTCAAGTACTGCATTTTAAGTTTGAGGTATCTGTACTTCAGTATTTTCACATTGTTACTTCATACTTTAAAATGTAGTGACTTCAAAGCCAAATATTGGCTCTACTTTTTACAACCAGTATACAAAAACAAAAAACTACATTACAAGACCTATGGTGAAAGTTCACAAGCTACCCAGCAGAAATTCAAATTAAATGCATACAAGCTAGTTAAAACTAGCCTCCCTTTACCAGCTGCAACATGAAGTGTTATGCACACAACTGCAATCCAATAACGATACAGGAACATGCCATTCTGCATAATGAGTACTTTTACTTAAGCAAAGGATCCGAGTACTTCTTCCACTAAAAATTTCAGCCATATTTGAGAGCAGGCCTATCTTCTTTACAGTCTGCTTGTATATGAACCATACTGGAGATCTGAGATTGTACATTGGCTGAATTCAAGAGGTGTGCCATTTCAGTTTGACAGTGACTCAATCTACATAAGGGAGCATGACTCTGTTGTAACTGAACACATCCAAAAGTTAAAGTTGGACTATACTTTTACATACCATTATGAAGGAGTCCTCTTTGGTGGCTCCATGGTTCACAGGGCCATTCATTTTTCCATCTGAAAAACCAAATAAGGTGGTTAAGAATTTGCATGAATAAAAATACATTTATGTACACAATATGTAGACATGCTTACCAAATTCATAGAGATGTCCGTTTACATTGACAAAGGCAATAAAGTGAAAGTTGACTTTGTCAGCTTCTGGCTGTTGAAGTTGATATAAAGAATTAATATGCAGGGTAGATATGACAACAAGCACTGCAATACAAACAAGCCATTGTGGCCATCAAATTTTCACTCAACCACAACTACAGCATCAAGTCTTCAGGTCACATGGTCTGAGTCTTCAAGGACCTCTCCATATTTGGTTCTATTCATCCTTGCCTCAAATCTGGCCAGTAATTACAACTATTCTGTACAATTCTCAGGTTTATCAGTTAATATGGAAACTGTGCAGAGAAAAATCAGGGTGACAGCTGTCTCATTGATGTGGGTCAAACACACAGGTGTAAAATGTTAGCCATTAGTCAAGGCAGTGGTTAAGCATCTTACCCTACACTGGCCCTGTGCAGCAACCTCATTGTGAGCCTCACGGATTGCCTGGAGAAGAAAAATGACATGTCTGTTTAATAATGACAAAGTGTTCTTCTCTTTAAAATTTACATGCAAACATGTTTCTATTAGCAACACAGAAGATCAATGTAGCAAAGACTTTTCAAATGCATTAGCACTCAAGTCAAACTGTACACTAAAAGATTTAGCAGTGTTTGGCACCCCCAAGTGGCTACTGCAAAATATTGAGGTTATGCAAACACTACAGAGCTCTACAAAGATGGCTCATTAAAACTACCCAATTTTTCCAAATATGATGATATTTTATGTTTATATCTTACATTCCCATTTCTAGCAGTATTTAACTATACACAAACAAAACAATCACATTTGTGTAGCTTATAGGAAAAGGGATTTCATTAGTCAAGCTGCTTAACCCTCTGATAATTAGATTTTAAGTATACTATATGCAACAGTAAGCAGCTTTACTTATGTGCTCATCTTACCTGGTTCTTCTCCAGATGTTTGGCACGGTCGTCAGCAGACATGTTTGCAGTCTCCTCTAGAAATTTCTTCAAGGTGGAGTCACCATCTGAAAACAATAGTATTGCTTAGCCAGTAATACATATGCAATCATTAAGTTCTTCAAAATCACAACCCGCCTCACCAAGTAGCTAAAAATCAGAAATAAAGGGTTCCTTTTCATTTTTACAATTCCTTCAATGTACCTTTTTTCCTTCAGCAAGCAATTGAAGAACCAACCCTTGCATTTGTGCTTCTACTATACTGTAGAATTATGGGTTGTTCAATTCAGTCAATGACAGACCGCAACCCATTTGTGTGGCAGTTATTGCACCCCAAAGCAGTTTAAATGATTCATACCTAATACACTGTACCCAAGACTACATATTTAAGCTACCCAGCCCCTTAAAAAAAAAAAAGTTACATTTTACTTTCAGCATCATAAAATATTTAATTTGCTGAGTCACTGATGGACAGTTCATGCTCATTTTATAATTACCAGTATTTGTATCAGTGTGCATTTCACTTGCACTCACCAAAAGTCAGTTTGCTTTTGTTATTGGCCACTGCATGCAGCAGGGCGATGGTGCCACAGGAATTGACTGCCGTCTGCTTCAAGAAGTACACCTCAGAGTCTTCTGCAACCTTGTCTGCCTGCTGCTGTCTGAAAGACTCATGCTGCCATGAACACACACACACAGAATGCTCATTCTTAGCTGTCCAGGAGAACACAATGTATTCAGTTCAAACATTTAAAATGACGTCAGTCAACTGATTACCACTATAGTCACCAATTTTCGGTTGATGTCAATTCATCTGTGCTGCTATCGTAAACAAATTCCTTGGGTTTTGAGGTGGTGATTAGGAAAAACAGCATTTGAAGAAGTGATCTTGAACTCTGATAAACTAAAATATAATGAAATTAATACAGTAGCTGCAGCCCTAGTACATTTCAGCCAAGGATGTGGTTTGGTTCTTTGATCACAAGACAGTCTGCAGTTTAAAGCAAAAACCTGACAGGATTTTAATTTTTTAAAAAAGAAATATAGATGAGCATCTGCTGATTCATTCCCTCCCCGTCTTTACAGCTCCTTCCCTGGCTTCATGCCCTCCCTGTACCTCAGTATCACCCCATAATAGCATGCATCACTGGCTGACCCCACCCTTCCCTTCTAGGAAGTAGTCCTCACCACCACCCCGTCATTACCTGTTGTGTCAGTGGGAACAGCAGCATCAGGGCACAACACGGTTTCGGGACGGCAGAGAGTTGCTCTCCCTCCAGCCCCAGCACATCAACAAAGCGCCAACTTTCACCCACGCCAAGCTTGCACATCATCTGAAACACACGGCCATGAAATAAGCTCGTTTGAATGGATGCAAACCTGCGAGACTACAGCGGCGACAGCTGTAACTGATCCTTCTGTGTCTGTTAAAGATGCTGCGTTGTGTTGGTCCAGTCAAGCCACACCCTTCAGCCCAGACACTGGGGACAGCGCTAGAAGGATGCTGCCAGTGATTAAATTAAGCTAACGCTAGATAAATGCTTATAGTGTTTGTCGCTGCGGCTCCCGTAATATCTTCCACTTTCACTTCCAAATTACAATATCTTGGCAAGTGTGCCGATATCACCGTGGGGAAGTAATGACCTGGTGGCGTTTTAACGGTCGCCTCTAACACCTAACAACCCACATAACTAGCTAGCTAACAGCTAACTTATAAAACTTACCCGCCATTCAAATTAAAACAGTCACCGATATGTCGCCATTACTCAGCGTCTAACGTTTGCTACCCACCTTGTTCAGCATCTGAAACGACATGAATAGAGGTAACAGGTGAGTGTACCTTATGTGAAAACAGTATTAAAAGTTTAAACAAAACAACTGTCGCCTCACCTCTGGGTTAATCTCCATTGCGGTCCACTCCATTTTTGACAATGTATGTTTAGCTGTGACCTCGTTAACTTGAGCGTTGTGTCCCTGCCTTCAAACGACTGTCGGTCAGATTTGCAGCGTCAACTCGCAATTTATACTGCCGGTTGTACCACTTATCTGCAGACAGGGGGGTGGGTTCAGATCAAATAGCTGGTGGTGTGCAGATTTAGCAGTCCTGATGAGGAATATTAGAAAGATGTATACACACTATATTTAACTTTATACATGTTGAACTATGAGGGAAAGCCACAGAACGAAATATGTTCTCATTAAAACATTTCAGTTAACACGAGTTCACGTTGGTTAAATCATGTTCTTTCTAGAAAGGTGTGACGTATTAATCACTCCCTAACGGCTCTGTCGCCAACAGCAGTAGTTTTGTAATTGTTTGACTTTTGGCCTCCAAGTTGGAGGTTAATGATGCAATTACTTTTTCATAATTCTACTTATTAGTGCCAATTGCAACAGGACACATGCACCACATGTTAATCACTTAGCCCATTAATGGAGATTAACAGTTCTGGACAAAATTAAACCTGTAGAGAAATCAACTGTTGTGCTGCAAGACTCCACATCTTAGGGAATCTTGAAAAGTTAAAACCTGGTTACTTGTTTATTTCACAGGTCTCAGAGAAAACTGAGCACATTTATTTTCTTACACTTTTCTCTGCCATTGCAACAAATCCACTGTATATGTAACCTTGTAAAAGAAATCTGACATGTTTTACTAATATGGAGCTGCATTCTACAAGACAGCGTATTTAATTCACAAACCCTTAGGTCCAGATGTTTGGTGTGCTTGACTGTAGAATACTTTAAAGCAAAGTTGTGCTGCACAGGAAATTATGCATTATTTTGCCAGTAGTGAACAAAAATGTGACTCTATCCCATGTGTGTCTTCATTCACTATGAGCAGCAAGACCCAGCCAGAACATGCTTGTTTATTGCAATGCACACATAATCAAAAGTGCAACTTGCTGCAGTTGCCACATGTGCCCTTAATCCAGGGTGCTGCTATTGTGCCAGTAGTGAGCACTATGCTTAACATTAAATTTACTGCATGCTGTTATTTTGGTTCCAGTCTGTGGGATATTGTCATGTATTGAGCATGTGGGTTGTACTGACATCTGTTGGGGTAGTTGGGTACTGTGTTGTGACCTGGATGTAAAATATATGAAGGCCAGAATAAATCAGTACTGAATGGCACATTCTGCTCCGATTGTTCTTGTTGGGTCTAGTATAAATTGAAGGAATACTATTGACACAACAAAAGTGGCGACGAGGATGGGATGTTTCTGTGGAATTCTGTGGAGGAAGGGGAATCTGTGACAGTCTTTGTAGCAGCATTAAAGAAGTTAGCGGAATATTGTGAATTTAATGAGGTGTTGAAGGACACTATTAGAGATAGACTAGTGTGTAGGTTGAGGAGCGAGGCTATCCAGAATCGCCTGCTAACTGAAAGTGCACTAACCTTGGAGAAAGCCATTGAGATAAGTGTTTCCATGGAGTTAGCTGCAAAGGAAGCTCATCAGCTCAGCACTAGTGGGAAACTGCACAAAGTCTCAACTGAAAAGGGGATACAAAACAAATGCTATAGATGTGACAAACCAGGACACCTTGCCACAGAATGCTGGAGTAAAGATCTAGAATGTAGGAAGTGTGGGAAACAGGGACACATTGAACGGGCCTGCAAAACCAAACGGGGTGACAAAACTAAACAGGGTGACAAAACCCTTCCCTTGTGCAACCTGAACTAAGTCCTATGACACCATAAGGGAGTGATTAAGATGTTTCTGGTAGCTGTGGATGCACATAGTAAATGGCCAGAAGTGTGCATTATGAGATCCACCACAACTGAGAAAACAGTTGAGAGACTTGGTGAAATGTTCAGCTGATTTGGGTTCCCTGAACAACTGGTGAGTGACAATGGCCCCCAGTTCACTGCACCGGAGTTTGAGAAATTTCTGGATGTAAATGGAATACAACACATTCGCTCGGCTCCGTATCATCCATCCACTAACGGACTAGCTGAGAGGTTCATCCAGAGTATGAAACAGGCCTTGAAGGCATCACTGGAACAAGGTTCACTCCACCAGAGACTGAATAACTTTCTGCTGTCATACAGGAATGTCCCACACTCCACTACCAAGGTCGCTCCTTCTGAACTATTCATAAAAAGGAAGTTGCGCACCTTTTTTGATTTACTGAAACCACCCCAGACCAAAGACATTGTTTTGCAAAAACAACGAGCACAGGTTGAGAGACGTAGCCTACGGGCAAGAGAGAGGATCTTTCATCCTGGAGACCAGGTGTTAGCACGAAACTACCATGGCAAACAGAAGTGGGTTCCTGCTAAGGTCATAGCACAGACCGGTCCTGTGTCTTACACAGTTGAGACCCCTGAAAATGTTGTCTGGCGCAGACATACGGATCAGTTACTGCATGGACCTAGGACGCCTGTGGACCCCCCTGAAGGTGATACTGAACTATACAAACATGCCAGCCCTACACCGTCTGCTTGGGGACAGACCCAGTCCAGTCCCACTCCTGTGGCTGTTCCCGATACTGAACTGTCAGCACCTCCCATACCAGTTTCCATTCCTGTTGCTGGGGAGCCGCCCGTTGACAACATTGTTCGCCGATATCCTCAGAGAGAACGGCAACCACCCGTGCGGATGAATCTTTAACTAGCGACTTACCTATATATGGGGCAGAATAATCCCCAGGGTAATGTCAGGGTTTGAGTAGTCCACCTCATTCCCTTAGAGTAGTGACAACTGGACTTTGTTGTTGATTGATGTTAATCTGTGACAGTAACTAAGTTGGAAGTTGTAATGAGTTACTAGTTTTTTGTAAATATATGAAGGCCAGAATAAATCAGTACTGAACGGCACATTCTGCTCCGATTGTTCTTGTTGGGTCTAGTATAAATTGAAGGAATACTACTGACACAACAGATATCACTTAATGTGTCCTGTTTTCCCAGTTTTGTGCACCTGTTTGTTCATGCTGCTGTTTCTCTAAGGTAAGCACCTGATTGTTCCTGTTGGGACATGGCTGTGTCAATGAAAAGTCAACAGAGTGTACAAATAAATGCTCTGTGTGCATGTGATTCTCCACTTGTTTTTAATTTGTGGCTTGGTGCATCAACGGCTCATAATAATTTCACAATAACCTCACATCTAAAATCATAATTATATCAATACTGGTTCTTTATATTAATAATTGCTCTAAACCTGAGAGCAGTTCAACCTAAACTGTCTTGGTCATGATCAAGCTGTTAGTAAACCTGCTTTTTTGCAGGTTTGGGTTTAAGGACTTGTGACTCTGATCACAGCTTCAGATAAAACAGTTTTAAAGAACCAAAAAGTTTAGACTTGAGTTAAATCGTCATAACTCAATAATCCATGTAGCCTACACAGAACGGGCCCATGACTCTGAACTCAAACTGCAGCCTACACAGAAGGGCCCATGACTCTGAACTCAAACTGCATATGAACCGCAGTTCTTTTACATGGAATTACTTACAAATTTGCCTAACTGCTGCATGCTAAGCTGTGAAAAAGGCTGGTAGTCTATCCATCCTGGAGAGAACCTTAGCAACTGACATTTTGTCATTTGTCAGGCGTTACTCACATATGAAAACATTTAGGTTTCCTGTTCATAAAATCTATAAGATGTACGGATGAAACTTCTGTGTATTGTGCTGCCACTGAACAATGACAATAAAAGTGAAAATAAATGTTCAGTCTGAAAACATCAAAAACAACATTTCCTAGAGTGCTTCAGGAGCAGGGCGGTGTCAGAGCCCTTGCACACCGGGGTGTGGCCCACACGGACGTGCGCAGGACTTTTTCTGAGTGCGCTTTGAGCCCTGTGCTTCTTCTCTTCCGCTCTCCGCCGCGTCTCTCTGCTCACCGAGCTTCACAGCTGCAACTCAGCGGTAGGTTCCTCAGATCAGCGCAGCCTTTTCTGAACATGGCTGTAACTTGAACATACATGTTCAGCTGCATCTACCAGCCAAACTTTACCTTTAGATAAAATAGTGACATGTCTGGTCCATGAAGTTTGACAGATAGTGCCTGGGGTGCAGGGAGCAGAGGGAATTTGGTTAAAACTGGTGAGACATGTTTTTCAGGTCTAGAGATAGTTTGGCGCTTCATATCATTGCTGAATAACGCTTTGCTCTTTTTAACAGACCTTCTTCTTCTTCTTCCCGGTGAATTAAGCCCGAAGGTTGTCAAAATGGTGAGTGAGTTTCATGTCACAGATGTTCAACGTAAAGTATTTTATAGTGAACTGGTTACTAAAATAATAATGATTGAGGTGGTCTTTGCAAAAAAAAATCCGTTATTTATGCAAATATAGGTGACTCATGATGGTTTTACCCAGTAAACTACAAGACGACGCCCACTTTATTCCATATTTGTTTGACTGGTAGGGGTAAGTTCATAAAACCCGGACATTTATTTATTGGTGATAGGCTTTATATAACTTTTCCATTTATATTAAACAGATTTATTCTAAACAGCTCTTTTTTTAAGTTTAGTCACGAGCAGTACATGAATTTAAAATAAAAGTGGGCTTGACAACTATCTGCAGCTGAATAAACACTGTAACTAGTTTCTCTTTCTGTTAAAAGTTCCTTTTAACAGAGAATTTATCAAATGGACACTTAGAAAAAGAACTTTGCAGTTTATTCAGTGTATGGGTTTGTATTGGTATATGTTTGTGAGGACCAATGTCAGTTGAAACCACCACAGCAAGGACATCACTGCATTGTGAGGACATTTTGGCCATTCATTAAATAAATAAACTCAGTTTTAAGGTTAATACTTGTTTTAAGTTAAGATTCAAATTAAGGAAAAGATTTGGGAGAAGATGTTTGGGATTAAGAGCTAGCAAATGCATTACATCAGTGAGAGTCCTCACAAGTATAGCAGACAGTGTGATGTGTGTGTGTGTGTGTGCATGCATTAAGTGTGCATGTGTGTGAGGAAGCAGAGGCTTTATTTGGGGAAGTTTGGAAAATCAATGACTCATGTAGGCTGTATTCCATTTGGGTGGGTCTGTGTGGCTTTCCATTTCTCTCTCTGTTTAATACAACCTCTTCCACGTCTACCCTTTCGTTTAAAGCCGTCCTCCCACTCTTAAAGGGGAATCAATTCTCTTCCTCCACATCAGGGTGGAGTCAGTATGTTAAAGTCATAATATTCAGTCGTGATGATGTTGTGCCGCTTCTTTCTGCAAACGTTCTGCAAGCTAAAAAGCAAACCTCTCTTTGCTATGAATAGTCAGTTTCAACATACCTTTTTTTGGATTACAGCTCTATTTAAAGGATAACTCTGATCCTGTGAAAAGGCCAAAACCAACAATGAAGTGATCCTAACAAGTATTGTCTGTGAAGGCAGAGCCTAGTGTAACTAATCTCTCTCCACCACTGACCTCCATTTTTGTTCAGAAGCCATTAGTACACATCAGTGAGCCACACCTTGCACTGAGCGACATGCTGGGCTGTATGTTGTATTTCAAGTCGATGCTGTATACCCTGAAACTGTACTATACATAAAAACCTGCTTGTCATATTTGTATTAATCTACGGCTCCCCAACAAATGCACTGTTTACTCTTTTACTTTTTGCTAAAAACCACAGTGTCCAGCCGTTACTAGTCTTTTTAAAATATTCTTTATTTGTGAGCAATTTTAAAAGATTAAAGTCTATACAGACAATGGATTTGGCTGCAGCCAGGATTTTGGCAATATTGAGGTCGAAAGTCCAAGCAGCCTCCTTTCCTCAAGTTTTTAAAGAGACTTGACACCTTGTTTATCAGGATAGTTTTAAGACATTTGATCCAGTAATTCTTTCACTCTTTTGCTACCTTTTTTTAGTGATTAAGAAGTTGTGTTCCCAAGTTTCACTGCATGATGGTCTAACAGCTGTTTTTCTTAAGTGCAAAGCACATCAGCAGCATCATATACAGCAAACGTAATGGTTTTCTCTCCTGATGGAGATGATGGTTAAATGTTGTTAAACATAAATGAACATAAATAATAAACAAATGCTTTTAAACTAAACATTTAGCTTTAAATAATTACTTATATTTGATAAATTGAGATATTATCATGTTAATTCTTATCCAAGATGAACCATGTTGCAGTAATAGTACAGGTAACCATAAAACGGTTTGACACGATGATATGGGACTTCCCTTCATACAAACAAGGCTACATGGAGTGTGTATAGTCAACATGGCAACCTCTGTTCATAGGGGACTGACAGGAGCTGTTTGCTGTCGCTGTTTGTGTTTTAAAGCAGAGATACCAGCTGCCTCAGCCTCTGACTACTTACGGAGGGTCACCGTACCTGGATCAGAACCGGTCCTGTTTAAACTGCCCACTCACTATAGGAGCAATAATCGAGTCCTACATTCCAGTGAAAATGATCTGCATTGTGTTGTGTGGTTGTTGTCTCCTTGTTCAGCTTTTTGTCCAGTGAGCCGTATGCATGCTGATTAGATTTTGTTTAGCTTGTGGTGGGGAGTGTGATCATAAAAAAGCAAAGCACGTGAACATTTTGGCATTTCTTCCTGCAGGAAAAACAGAATCCTGGTTGTTATGAGCAACTTGTTTTTTTTAGACATCCCACTTTTTCCCCCCTCAGACTTTCAGAGTCAGAATACCAGAGACATTTCTGTGGTTCTTCTCTCTAAACATCTCTCCCCATGAAATAAGAAGCAGCCACTTGAATATTTTGTTAATGTGTCATAGTTTTAGGGAGTGTCTGGAATGAATGCAGCAAGAAGTGCTTTTACTAAAACCAGTCTTATGTTAACGTTTTTTCAGCCTTATCACAATCTCTTGGTCACTGGGCTTCAGGGGATAAGGGGATGGTCAGTGGGGATGCACTGTTACAACCGTCCCCACCCCAAGCAGCCACTATGTAGCTAACAGTTTTAGCATGTGGGTTTGATAGCATGAACGTAAAGCATCAAATTAAACTAGAGAAACTGCTGCTTTAGGTTAAACAGTACAAGTTGTACTGTATTGTATCTGTGATACAATGAAAACTAGACACAAAAAAAAAATCTTGATTTAAAAAAATTGTACTTTTTACCTGAAAATCAGTTTTCTGTTCATAAAATCCACAGTATTGCTCACAGAGTCATGCCACTTCTATGGTCAGCTTAAAAAAAAAAAAAAGGGGG